GCTGTTTCTTAAAGGTTTTGGTATGTTGTATCTTCATTCCCCTTTTAAGTCTAGGGTTTTAATTCATTTTTTATTTGTTCTGTTACCCAGAGTGTCACTCAGTCTCCATGTTTTTGCTTTTGTTTCTTTGATCTTCCTATTATTGATTTCTAATTTTATAGCATTGTGGTTTGGAAAAATACTTTGTAGTATTTCAGTCTTTTAAAATTGATTGAGTTATGTTTTGTGGCCGAACATATAGTGTATTCTGGAGAATATTCCATGTGCACTGGAAATGAATGTGTGTTCTCCCAAGGGTGGATCTTAGCAGGCATAGTTGTGGCTGGGTTGTGTGGCCCCAGTTGTAGCTGGGTTGAGTTGCTGTCTCCTATCAGGTGAGGTAACAAGGAAACACACAGAAGAGAAAAAAACAACAAATAAAACCAGCAAACATTAGTTGGGGGGTTGGGGGCGGTGGTGAAGTAGTAAAGGAATAAAAGGAAAAGCAGGCATCAGCTAACAAAAGAATACCAAAACCAAAGGGAGTAAAGAGGTAGAGGAAAATAAAATAACAAATATAGAAAAATAGAAAGAAAAGGGCCTTAACACAATTAAGGAGAAGAATGAGTAGAAAGGAGAGAGACCAGAGTATAGTTTTAAGAAAAACACACAAACCATAAGGAATAAAATATGAAGAAAGAGGGAGCCGTGGTTGGGAAAGAGAAGCAGAAAACAAAAGAAGAAAGTGAAAGGGGAAATAAAGGTGAGAAAGCAAGAGAGCCAAAGGTAAGGGAGAAAGAATAAGGAAACAGAACTGTGTGGACAAACCAGGGCTGGGGGCTGGCCTGGAGAGGAGAAATTCCAGGGTCTCCTGCCGACAAGCACCTTCACATTGTAGTTTGATAAGGGATGAGATGGAATCCCTCAACCCGAGATGGGGGTCCTGCAGGGTTGGGTGTTTGTCTGGGTACCCGATCTGGAAGGAGTATGTGCTGACCCCAGAGCAGCTGGGGATCGGGGTATTTCCATCCCCAAGGGCATTGGAAGCTGACAGGTCCCTTTAGTCCAGGGCTGACCTGACCCGGCTCTGCAGGTCTGGAATAGGCCGCCCCTGATTCCAGGTGTCAGGGTTGGTGCAAATAAGACTGCGGGGTAGCTGGAGCGTCCCTGAGATTGTCCATGGATGGGGCCGAGGTGGAAAGAAAGAAAAACGTGCCCTTTTCTGTCCAGCAGTCCACCTCTGTGCCCACACTCCCTTTCCCCCCACAGAACTGGGGTCCCAGGGCAATTACTTGCAATCAGCCTCTGTCCCACCTCCTGCCCCCCTGCAGAAATGGTGTCCCTGGGCGATCACCTGCATCTGTTTCTTTGTTGTCCTTACACCCTTTCTGTCTGGTCCGCCATTTTGCCGCTTTCCAGAGATTCATTGTTGTGGTTGTGTGTGTAGAGTCACTTTTGTACTCTGACAACCCAAAGTGACAGAGGAGAAGTGCCTCTCAGGGTTCTAGGCTGTAAGCTTGACGAGAGCAGATCCCCGGGGCTTTCTCCTGGGAGCTGCTGCTGGGAGGGTTGTAACTGCTACCCTTTCAGTTGGAACCAAGCGCTTCACCTTTTGCCAGGGCTCCTTCAGAGTTTTATTAGAAACCTAGAATTCTTGAGATATGCTTTTGCTAACTTCTATAAATGTAAAGGAAATTCTCACATGGAAAACTTAAATTACTGCCTTTTAAAGGTTATTTACTTCTTGCCTCTTATCTATTATGGTGGTGGTGGTTATGGGCCGTGGAGTC